CCGCCCCCCCCCCCCCCCCCGCGGGCAGGGGCTGGGGGCCCCGCCCCTTTGCACACGCGTGTGCCCGCATGAGGGGCACCAGCGCCCTTTGCACACGCATGTGCCCTCACAGGGGCTCCAACCCTCTTGGCACACGCGTGTGCCCTCCTGGGTGTGCAGGGGTGGGCCAGAGCTCCCCCCTGCAGGCGCAGGCTTAGGCTTGGAGAGGGTGGTGTGCCCCCCCCGGGCACGGGCGCAAGGGGCCGCGAGTCGTGCACACCCCCGTCACGCGTGGGGACGCGTGTCTCGTGCGCGGGCGTGCACACGCTGGGGGGGACAGCGTGCGAAGAGGAGTGCCGCGCGTTCGGCCCGAGTCCTGCCCGACCAAACCGCCGCCTCGCTCTCGACGGCTGCTGGGGCGCGGCACTCGTGACGGCCGGACGGCGCTGGGTCGTGCCCGGGGCGACCGTCCGGCCGTTGCTTTGTGACCTCGTAACCGGAGCGGGGGGGGGGATCACAGCCTCGACCGCTCGCGCCGCCCGTCGCCTCCCGCTTTTGTCTCGGTGGGACGCAGATCCCCGAACGCCGCAAAGCCGGCGGGGCGAGGGCAGGCAGCCGCTGAGAGATGAGCAGGTATAAAACGTACCGTGGGCCAGGAAGAAGGTAATCTAATGTTGTTCATCTGGGGCGTCTTGAACACTTTTACCAGAGAGGGAGAGAGACCAGCCTGTTTACAAAACAGCGGCGACCGCGAGAGGATTCATGTATGACGAAAGGTCAGGGCGGCTGGGCGCAGCAAGCCTGCCCGTTTCTGAAGGGACGGGGCGCTAGCAGGGGGTTGTGATCAGAAGCATTCAGGTGAGATCAAGAAAAATAAGAATTACATCAAAAAGTCCTTCCTGCCAGTGAAACCTAGCAAGCGTTTCGAGGAAGCATGAATGCCCGTTGCTCGCGGCACTTACAAATAGAGCGGCTGAAGCAGATGTCCTGCCGAAAGCCAGTCCTGTACGGGCTCTACAGGCCATGGGCAGATTGAGTTAATTAGTCTCTTCTATCTTGCTTCTAACTATTCTGACGATTAAATGGTCAGATTATCTTGCATTCAAATTGGGGCATTATTTATTCTTTCAGGCTTACAAAATAGTACGTCGTGGTGCGTTATAGAAAACAAGACTCTCAGCTTTCCCTGTAGTCAATTAGGGCGTATTTTAAAATGCATTCATCTCCACCATGCAGCTTCATGGATTAGAGGCCGTTTGGGAGCTGATCCAGGTCTCTTTGGATTTACTAATTTCACAAAAGGAGCCGTTTCCCATGGTATAAGAATAAAGGTGCTTTGATGGACAACAAATAGCATTTACCAGGTCATGTATCCAGCCCATCCTACGCTGGTCCTTGCAGATCAAACTCGGCAGTGACATTTCTGGAGATTATAAACTCTCGTTATAGGTGAGGCAAATGTATGTTCAGATTTGCTAGAATAACTTTTAACGCTTTTCATCAGGAAGAAGATTTCAACTAAGTGGCACAAGAGGAACAGCAGTGACCAGTATCGGTGGAAATGGGTCTCGGTGAGTTATCACGACAGTCCTTCAAACAAGGGGTGAGATGAGTTGAATGAACTGCCTCTTGTGTAGTAAAAATAGATCTGGGATGTTCAGGGAAATGGGAAAATGCTGTAAAGCAGGATTACTGAATTCATTTGGACAAGGCAGTCCCAGAGGCTTGACAAAGACAGTGTGATGTCACTAAATGTGTATCTGTGGGATAACAAGGGGAGAAAGTGAGCACTGGGACCTTCACCATTACATTTTTTTTTGTTTTAAGTTCAGGATGCCCATAGGTGAAAAGCAATGCACTCTAAAAACTCTACAAGGAGATTAAAACTTTAATTAATATCTCTTACAGAAGCTGCACTTCTGTGCAGAATGGTATGAATTATATTGATTAAAATAGTGTTAGCGTGATGTTGTAGCTGTGATATTCTAGGAATTATGTGAGAGGCAAAGATTTCTGGCGGGGGGTGATAGCTTCCAACTTCATGGTTGGAATAAAGTCAGGCAAGCTTTCTCGTGTAAGACATTCTTCATCGGAGACTTGAAGTAGAGAACTTGCCATTACAGAATAAAAAATGCAGTATATTGTGCTATATTTTGGCACTAGAAGAAAGAGAACTGAACTGAGGGAACCAAATTGATCGACTGGGATTTTTTATGTACTTGCTTTATAACTTTGTTCCAGCTGTTGGAAAAATTTCAGACAGGAATATTTCGTGGTGGGTGCTTTTAAAAAAATGGCTCGTCTGAACCTTCTCACTGCATTTTACAGCCTATGCCGCCGTGGGTCCTTTGTGTCACCCATCAGTAAGCAGCAACACGGTTTTGTTTAGAAGGGCAGCTGAATGTGCTAATGACCCAGCATGAGTCACCATCTCCAGCCTTCCCCTCAGTGCAGGGCCCATAAACTACTAGCCTCTGTGAATCAGATGTTATGTGACATGAGCTTTGTCTAATGCAGAACCTTGTAAAACCAGGCGGTGTTGAATCACTTAGTACTTCAGACCTGGGACACACAGAATATATTTAATCACTTAGAGGTACTGGGGCAGAGCTGGCTTGTGTGAAGGGTTTCAATAAAAGTATGTTGGGAAAGGAACAATGTTGGAACTTCTAAGGTATGCTGGGCTGTCTTCAGTTTATACAGCGTGAGAGAGGCATGAATTGAAGTTGGGGAAAATGATGGAAAATGCCGCAGGACCCAATCCTAAAATGGGTCCTGGAAAGAAAATGGGCTATGATCAAAATGTCATGTGCTTTGTGATACCATTATGATAAGAAAGGAGCTTACATCA